AGCATGGTAAAACCACAGGGTGCAGGTTGGTCAGGAACTACCAGCTGGAGAGGTGGAGAGGTCATGAAGGGCTGGGAACGTCCTGTGGAGGAATGACCATGCGTTCATTCAGCACGCGTCTGCTGGGCGCCTTTTTGTGTGTCGGACGCTCTTCTGTGCACTTGCAACACTTCAGTGAATAAAATGCACATAAATTCCGACCCTCGAGGAGCTTACATTTTAGTTGGAGGAGAGAAACACTGGACATTAAGTAATAAGTTAAGTGGTGTGCAAGGACAGTAAGTATGAGGGAAAGGGGTCGAGCCAGGTGATTAACACAAAGAGTGGCAGTAAGTCCTGTTGACAGTAGCTGCCCTTGCTAGGATATGATGAGCATGGTTTTACGCTCAAAGCACATAGCCCGAGTCTAATGAGGAAATCCCCACTGAGGGACAAGCTATCAGATACCTGACTAGTGTTCGTCAAAAACGAGGAGGTCTGAGACTGTCACAGCCAAGAGGATGCCAAAGAAACATGACAGCTAGTCATGTGGCATCCGGTGTGGGATCCTGGAACAGAAGATACTAGGGAAAGATGAAGGAAATCGCGACAAAGTATGAACTTTAGTTAACAATAGCATATCAATATCAGTTCATTCATTGTGACAGGTGTACCACACTAACGTAAGATTTTACATGGAGGAAACTGGGTGTGAGGTATATGGGAATGCACTGTACTATCTTTGCAATGATTCTGTAAATCTAAAACTGTTTTAAAATGAAAAGTTTAGTTTTTTAAAAAGCAGAGTAAAGGGAATCAGAAATCTAGGGCAGAGATATGTGTTATAATTTTAAATAGGGTGGTAGGGCAGGCTTCATTGTAAAGGTGACATGAACAATTATTTAATGAAAGACTTGGCCATGTTGCTATCTGGGGAGCAGCCAGTTGCAAAGACCCTGAGGTGAGATGTGTGGGCAAGTTTGAGAACCAGCAGATAGAAGGGAAGGTGGAGGGCAGAGGGTGTGTGAGGTCACAGAGGAAAGGTGATGGTGCAGATCAGGTAGGGAGGGGCTTTTAGGCTTGTTATTCATGTATCGTGTGCCAAGAATCATGCCAGGTATCAATTTTAGTTAATTCTCTCAACTATCCTTGGAGAGAGAGGGATTATTAATTTGCTGATTTCGCAAATGAAAAAACTGAGAAAGGTGAAGTAACTTATTGAAGTCCTGATGGTAATTTCTTCCTTCCTTCTGAGCCCCAAAGTTGTCTCTGCTGACCTCTGCCTCTTCTTTTTAGGAGGCTGCACTATATTCTCTAGGCCAGGAGTTGGCAAACTGCGACCCATTGGAAAAGCTGGCCCTCTGCTTGGTTTTGTTTTGTTTTTTAAGTTGGGATAAAAAACACATGTAAAATTTGCCCTCTTGATAGTGTAAAATATATTCACATTGCTGTGAAGCAGATCTCCAGATCTATGGCTACTTTTCCCACTATAGCCATGGAGCTGAATAATTGCAGAAGTGATTGTATGGCCCACAAAGCCCAAACTGTTTATTATATTCTCTAGCTCTTTACAGAAAATGTTTGCCAACTCCTGTTCTATTGGGGAAAGTCTGAAGGGTTCAGAGAAGTGATGCGGGGGCTGCATTAGAGGAGGAAGACTTGCTGGCTTTGTGGGGGGACACAGACATGGATATGGAACTTGCCCTTATAGTCTAATTGAAGTGGAAAAGACAGTTTACAAAGTTGAGTTGTTTAGTGATGCTTTAAACATTCATGGAAGGGGGAGACCCAAAGGGATTGATTCCTCAGGAAAGACTTCATAGAGGATTGGGATTTGGGATGAGATGGGTGGGGTCAGTGCAGGGTGTGGAGAGCTGCTTCAGCCTTCTCACCAAACCTTAAATGAGGCAGGACAGCGGAAGCACTTAGAGCTGTGTCACGTACAGGAAGTGCTCCACTAGGATGCAAGTTCCACAAGGGCAGGAATTTAATCTCTTTTGTTTACTGTTGTATCTCCAGTGCCTAGAACACAGTAGCTGCTTCAGAAAACATTTATGGAATGAATAAACCACTGCTACTCTCAGTAACTCTTTTTAGCTATTTAATTTGTACTGTGCAAATGCAGGCAAAGACTGAGTTTCTCACACTGGTCTGTTCATTTACTTATTACACTAAGCAGTGATATTCTTTGGTGGGGGGGCTGTTATTAAAACAGCAGCTGTCTTTATTGTTTATTGCAAGAGATAATCGTGCTGTGGCAAGAGGGCTGCAAATCAGAGGGACTGACAACAAAGGAAAAAGGAGAAAAAGAAAACAGTGTCATGATTCTAAAGATAGCCGCTCAAAAAAGAACTCATTCATTTGTTCAACGCATATTTTTTGGGCTGCGGTTGTGTACTGGGGGCCCAAGGGTGAGCAACATAGACAGTTGCTGCCTGAGGGGATATTGACATTGAAACTTGTCATTACAAATGTGATGTGTGTAACGTACAGAAGTACAGGTGCCATGGAAACCTAAACAAGGACATTTCACCTAGTCCGGGACACCAGAGAAGGCTTCCCTGAGGAAGTGATGCGTCCTGATTATTGGTTGCTGTGTGACAAACTACTCCCAAACCTTGTGTCTTAAAACAATTTATTATCCCTCACGGTTCTGGGTTAACTGGGCTCAGCTGGAAAAGTCTCACTTGGGATCTCTTATGAGTTGCAGTTAGATACTGACTGGTGCTGGAATTTGGAAAACTCAGCTGGGCTCTCATCCAAGACGGCTTCTTCACACACATGTCTGGTGCCTCTGTGCTCTAATTCGTGGCCTGTTTCTAATATCTGTTTCCATCCTCTGTCCAGGCAGTTTTATGACTTATTTTCTTACGTACCTCACCATCGACTGTGGGCCTCTTTAGGGTGAGAGCTGTGTCTTATTCATCTTTCCATCTTTAGTGTCTTGTTTATGGTGTGACCTTATTAAATGATGAAAGGATGGATAGATGAGTGACTTCCAGAATGCCTTGTTAAACAGCATTCACGTGGTTTTAAATTGAACTGTTACTCCCCTTTACTGAGGGTTAAATGAGGCATGCATATGAAAGTGTCCATGAGACTTCCTACTCTCTCTGGACCTCAGTGTCTCCTTCTGTGAAAGGTTGGGGTTGAAAGGATGATCTCAGATGTCTATGGTTCTAGAATGTGTGGGATAGAATGTTCCAGGACCTAGGGATGCTGGCTGTCAGTGGCTCTTTACTTCTCAGCAGCCCAAGCAGAGAGCACAAAGAGTGTACTCCTATATATTTTGATTATTTTTTTAAAAAAAAGGAAAGAAGAGAAAGAATCACTTTGAAGGTATTTATGCTCTAGTATGATTAAAGAATTTGACACTGAATTTTAAGCACTGGGTAAGAAAAGGAGTATCCATAATATAATCTTGGATGAAAAACTTAGTGCTCTCTGCACCTTGGTGCCTCTTCTATAACATGGGAAACTTATATTTTGTATATTATGTTCATTTGAAATTATACTAAAGACAGAACTAAAAGCTTTACGGTTTATTATGTATATCTTTTTTCAGCCTCTTGCATACAAGATAAAGTGGGGGGAAAATTCCCAAGTTTCAAAATTACAGAAGTAGTGAAACCCTGTTGCACAATTCAGGAGCCTCAAGTCCTCCTAAAGACACAGGAAGCAAAACCCTGTTTGCAGCCAGAAAAATATTATAAATGATTTTATCTCCAAACATTCAATATAAGCCTTGCTTCATGAGTGCTGACATAATAAATATCAAAATATAAAAGTAGACAAATTCACAGTCATTATCGCTTTATGAGAGGTTAACCACAGAGTTCCTGTGAACTCTAAACCTCCTTGATACATTTAAAATAAAGGGCTGTAATACTAGTTTTATTTACAAACATTAAGCAATGTAGATTGGTGCTGTTGATTGAAATGTAATGGTTTAATGACCTAAGTGCTAAAAGTGATTTTAATTAACCATAAAAATTGTGCAGTTTTTAAAAAGAAAGCACATCTGTGTATTTTTGCAGCAGCTTGCAAATGTGTTGCTGATTGCCTAGTTTTACCTATTTGCAAGTAGTTGAGGGAGAAAACAGCCCTTGCCTAGTTGTTGCTTTTGGCAAAAATACAAAGGTATATATGGCTGTTGAGTACATGAAATGTGGCTAGTGTGATTGAGGAACTGTAGTTGATTTTAATACATTTAAATTTAAATAGCCATGTATGGCTAGTGTTTACTGTATTGGATTGGACAGCCTCACTGTCAAAGTCTGCTCTAATTTGACCTGACCTTGGAGATATACCATTTCCCAGAGACAGTGGGTTAGTGCTAGGATTCTTTCTGCTCAGCCCAAAGGCTGGACCTGTCCTTCTAGGCCAATCCTCAGAGCTTCTTTCCAGGAGGATTGGAGGAATTCTGAAGTCTGGAGTCGTCATTATTACATAACCTAAACCTAGGAAGCACAAGCGCAGGTACATTCAGGTTTAGTGAAAGGATAGGCTCTCCCTCTCTACTTCCCCCTTGTACTCTTAAGACTCACAATTTATCAGTGCTTTCAAGATTTATGAAAGAACTCATGCATTTATGACTTTCAGACTGATTACCATAGATGCCCAGTCACGGAATTCCTAGTCTCTTTTGCTTACTATTTTAGGTCACCATATCACAGAGATTTGGCAGGGCAGTCTTTTCACAATTGCTCTCAAAGGCTTCTCTGTGTGAGTAAAAGCTATTGACCTTAATTCCCCTTATCAAGTGTTCCACTCTGCTCTCTGTAAGTTCTAATACAAAGCAGGCAGTGATGTGTGCTCGTGACAGTGGAACTTCTGTGTAGGTGTTGTCCACCTTTGGGCAGGGCTGCCAGAGAAGAGACAGAAAGATGGGGAAGTAACTGGGCAGATTTGTGTACTATGGACTACCACGAACTGTGTGTCAAGGCTCTCCTTTTTATTTTCTCCTAGGAAATTAAGGATTGCCATGGCATTGCTTTGACAATCACTTCTTGTCTTTACAGAGATCCCACGGAAGAATAATCTCAACGGAATCTTTGTCTCCGGATACCTTTGTTAATGGCCATTCTCAGCTAGCAAATGCTTTTAGTGACTGGGAAGACATCAGCCACCCTTGTGTTTGGCCTGCCGCAGGCAGCGAATGAGGTTCCTTTCAGTTGTCCCCAGAACTCTACTGCCCGAAGCATCTCTCCGTTGGGTGAATGCCCATGACACCGTTTCCTGAGCCAGCCTAGGAGGCATAGGCCTTAGAGCCTGCGACATGGAAGCTTTAGAAGTGGATGACATCAGCCCAGCCTTGGAAGTCACTGAGGATTTCTTTAGTACTTTTGATAGTAAGCTAGAAAAGGCTGTGCAGCACGCTGAGGTTTATGGGATTCAGGAAGTCCCTGAACTGGTGGGGCACGAGGTACTCAGTAACATAACAGACAATGGTGCTATCAGAAATGTTGCCTCCATGGGCCAGGGGGGCATGATTTGGGACCACTGTAAGACCAGGCTCTTAGAAACCAAAGTGCAAAATGCCTTCCCTGCCAAAGAACAGTTTATGGTCCAGAAAGGGACAGCCCCAGATAATCTTTCCTGGATGGAACAAAAGGAAGCATCAACCTTTAATTTTTTCAACATCTGTCAGCGTCGGAGGGACAGACCTCGCTCTGTGAATGACTTATTGGATGAGACCTCTACGTTCAAGCCAGGGCATGCTCGATCAAGGTCAGATATTACCCAGATGGACTGGAGGGTCATCCTCAAGACCACACCTTTGCAACAGCAGCCACAACAACCATCTCTTCAGGGCCCTCACTTCACCAGGCCGTCGTTTCTGTCACCCTCAGCAAATAAGATAGAAGATGCTCAAGGAAATACTGGTAGGTTTTTATTGTTGATCAACTGCTGTTGATCAACTGCTGATTTTGCTTTGTGTCTTTTGCATTTGCCTCATGAGAACCTTATGCTCCAGAACCCATGTCTGGCTGTGTTTACTGAAGCTGCTTCTTCCATTCACTTTCACACTCGACCTTACCTCAGGTCTACAGTCTTATCTTCATAGGAGGTACTGAGTGAAAAGACAACTCTGGTTAATTTTTCCCGTCTAGCCTTGGATGTTAGAATCAGAATACTCATAATTAATGTAGCATTTTCCCTTTGAATATTGTATAATACTGCTTATTCACATCAGGAGATGTTCATCAGATCACACATGGGGTGTACCTTGTGCTATGAAGGAGTTAAAGGCATGTGAAGACACAATCCCGGCCCTAAAGAACTTCTCATTTAGCAGAGGGCGTCAGACAGTCACAGTGACTCAGTCAGAGAAAGTAGATGGTCAGCTGAAATGTTTATGAAGGAACTTCCATTTTACTCTGTATTGTTGGGATTTTTTTTTTTGATGAGTGAGTGACTGACTGTAACAGCACAGAGGAAGGAGAAGACACCCTGGGCTGGGCTTGTCAGGAAGGGCCTTTGAAAATTAGCAATCCAAATTGAAGAAAGGCTTACTGTTGTGAGAGGTCATGGAACTTGAGCTGGACCTTGAAGAACACTAAGATGCAGAGTCAGTAGAGGACACCTGGTCAGGATTATGATCTGAACAAAGGTGAAGCGATGGGAGGTGCAGAGGAGAGCAAGTTAACCCTTGTGAGAGGAGCAAAGGATCCCAGGGCGGGTAGTGGGAGGAAAAGGCTGGAGAGGTTTGTTAGGACCTCATGGTGTAGGACTTTGAATTTCTTTTTTCCTCATACTTTGTACACATACACATACTCATATACTGTGTACTGTATGTAATTATACTCATGTACTCACACATGAACTTTCTCTTCTGTGAGACATGACACACCATCTCTGTTTCCCTCAGCATTTTCCCTCAAGATAACCTCTTTTGTACAGGCTATCCATTTTTTTACTGATGATTCTTCAACCACCCTGTTTAACTCTTAATTTAGATGGCTTCTGCTCAATTAACTGGGGAGACTAACTTATGTACTTAACTACTATTTTAGTGTTTCTTCAGTCTCTACCATTGCTTGGTATTCCATTGGTACATTTAACATTTTACTTATTAAAACTTAGTTTATAAGTATAACTTGAGGCAAGGGTATAATTTAGTATGTCTGTGAAGGAAAGACAGCGTTCCTATCTACAAAGTCCTGTGTTATTTTCATATCCAAATCCATCCTTTTAAAATAGTTTATTTTCCACTCAAATTTATGACTTGTTTTTTTCTCTTACACTTTCACCAGCCCTCTGTAACATCTAGCCAAGGGTGGTGACCATAAGAGTAAAAAGAAAAGGACACTGTAAAGCACAGGACTTGATAATTGATTAGATATTTGAGTATAAATAAGTTTCTGTGACCCCAGTGCCTAGAGAATGAGAGCTCTGCCTTGACCCGAGTACAGACAGGTGTGCGCCTTGATTAGCAGTTAACCTCTGCTGTTTTTTGGTTTCTTAGCATTCACATAGATTTTTATGACTACACCTTCATAACCATTCTAAATCCTTGGTACAACCAGAGTTAAGAGGGAGTCATATTTCCAGTTTTATTTTTTCTATCTTGTTTGGATTGTAGATGTAAGAACCAGACCTTCTTTAGGTTCTGTCTTTAGTATTTTATGATTATGATTATGATTTTTTAATTCTCAATTTTAAAAAACTTGAATATTAAATGATGTTGACATGTAAATACTGAATGGTGTTCTGAAAAATAAACTGTAACAAATGGCCTTTGCAGATTTTGATTTAACCTGGCCACCTTTTGGTCGTCATGAGATACATATCTTAGTAGGAATTAGCAAAGTTGGGCAATTTCTGACTTTTTTTCCTTCTAGCATGTTCTGGAGAGCAGGCAGGATAAGTCATGTTTTTATTACTAACCAGGTGAAGGGCAGGGCAAGCAGCAAGTGCCCACTGGCCAGCTTTCTGGGACAGAAAGGAGTTCTGGATACATGGCTGGTCACCCACTCTGCCAACTGCAATTCTCAAAGCCTTGGGGAGGGGGGCGGGGAGAGGGTGTGTACCAACATTCAGGTGCATTCTGGTCGAAATCACCCATGATCTTTGAGTTGTTTACTTTAAAACCTTTGAAAATTAGTGATCCAGACTGAAGAAAGGCTTACTGTTTCTCCTGAAAGAATATGCCAGGAGGAGAGGGAGGCGGTGTAGATCTTGGCTAGAGCTGGACATTTGGGGTCGCGCCAGACCTCTTCCCTGAGCTCCAGACTTGCATATCCGGCTGACTGTTGAACACGTCTGTTGGAATGTCTCACTGGCACATTAAATTCAAAGTGACCAAAAGTGACCCAGCATCCTCCCATCTCCTACTCCTGCTGTACTGACAATTAACCAGGGTTATCACAAGGCTGGGGCTCCTCAGAAGAAATAAAATTTAGTCAGATTGGTTTCCTTTGAGGAGGTCAACTTGATTTTGTGCCTAGCTCTGTCACTCTCTTACCTATGGGGTTTGTTACTGCAGACTTTCATGTTTCCTCCAGTTGATTTTTTCTGGCTCTTATTCTGAGCCCACCTGTAGTAGCTGAAGGCTCACCCGGAGTGACTCTCCTTGTCCCCCTGCCTTCTCTTCCCCCCATCCGCTCTTTTTCCATCGTAACAACAAGCCCAAGGATCTCCATCAGGTAGGACTGCTGCATCTTCTGCCTCATTTAGTGACGAATAACTGCTTCTGAACCTTCCTGAAGATAAATGCTGCTTTTATAAAGCAGATCAGGTTTTGGGATACTGAGGGCTGTGGGTAGCTGGCTGTAATACCAGCTGTTTTGTTAATGGGCAAGCCTGTCTGAAGAAGACCTTCTGGTCAAACAAGATAGTGGATTGGTTAAAAACACTGACTCTAAACCTACCCTGTTAGAGTTTCAATCCTTGTTCCAGTACTTACTACCTCTGTAACATAGGGCAGGTTTCTTAATATCTCTGTCTTTATGATAATAATTATTTTTCATCATAAAGTGTAGAAAAGTAGTAGTATTCACCTCAGTTTCTTGTGAGCATTAAGTGGGTTAAAACATCTAAAAGCACTTCTTCTTAGGACCATGTTTGGCACAGTAAACAGTTAATGTTTTAAATGTTTAATAATATTGATTTTGCTATTATTAATCAAATTTGAAACTCATCAGTGAGAATCAAGGTGACTTTACCAATCACTCCTACTTTTCCCTGGCATAGTCTGTTTCATAAAATGTCCTCACAATAAATATTTCTTGAATTGGCCTTCTTGAAGTGTACCTCCTCACAGCTGTTAACTGGTTTGTTAATGGGAAATAGACCATTCATTCCCTTTCTCATACTGACTTATGATCACCATTTGCTGTCTTCCACACCAGAGTGTGTAGTCACTGAGGAAGAGATTGACTGTTACTCATTGTTTCATCCTCAGTACCTAAAATAGTGCTCTGAAAATAGTATCGCTCAAACATGCTTTTAGTCCCACAGCTAGTAAACAGGGGCACCTTGATTTGAACTCAGGTAGTCTTCCTCCAGAGTCCATGCTTTTGACCACTAAGCTAGGCTGTATCCTTACTTTGGAAACCAGTAATCCTCGGTCTCTGGAACCCTCCACTCTGAGAGCCTCATTGGCAATCAGTCTCTGTAGGGGTAGAGGGTGGGAAGTAATGTGGAAGAAACAGACCTGGATAATGTTCCTCAAACTAAAATTAGATCACTGGTTAGGAAAAACTGAGACACGCCAGAGCAGTCTAGCTAAAAGCAAGGATTGTTTTCTGCATTTAACGTATTTGCTAAAATACATGGACAGAGCAGAGCTGGTCACAGTTCTTCAGACCAATGAATCCGCAAATGGAAGACTGTAACCTTGCCTTTCACATTCTTGAATGTTAGCTATGCAGAGAGCTTAAGTGAACTGACTCCCTTGGGTTTGTAACCATGGAAAGATGGCTTGGGGTTTTGCCCCATCTTGGCTGCTTTTTTCGGTCTTACTTAGAAGCATGCAAATACATTCTAGAGATTGCATTACCTCAGGCAGAGACAGACCTAGGACAGACTTCTTAAGATGGAATGTTGCCTGTGCTAATGGATAAAGGGTACTGCTAGTGGGTCCTTCTAGGCTGATGATGTGTGGCTTGAATCCAACCTGGTTAACACTATCTGTGCTACCTGGGAATTGGATAGTAATGTCAAAAGGATTAGCTCATAGCTTGATAGGAAGGAATAGATCTAAGTTAAGATGGCAACAGAGACAGTTATTTCTAAAGAATCCAAGGCAGTGGTGGAGACCAAAGCTTCCTTTCCTTCCTGCCATCCCCGTCTGCCATGCCCCGGGCAGCTGGAGTGAGGTATGCCTGGGAACTAGCCCTGAGGGAGGGGCCTGCTTCCACAGCAAGAATGGTTCATTTTCAGTCCTGGCACTAATCTTAGTTCTATACAAACATGCTCTTGACAAGTATATATACTTAGCCCTTTACCCCTTTGCATCACTGCCATCTTGTCTCGTTCCCTGACTAGTGGTTCAGCCATATGCACCAGGGAATTTCCCATAGGACCAAGAAGGCAGGGTGCTGACATTACAGAATTACAGACCCAGTGTAAACATATGTGAAGGTAGGAACGTAGGAGGGCATATGGACATGTGGACATTAGTTTTATCATTATGAAAAAATAGATTATGTGCACATACAAACACACTTATTCCTGTAAGTGTGTGCACATGTAGAGGAAGGTGAGGCTCCACAGGAAGAACACTCAGCTAGGGCTCAGACGTATCGTATCCTAACTCACCATGTAGGCTTGGAAAAATCACTTGGCTGTTGCTGTCGGTTTATAAACCTAGTGAAGCAGGGTAAATGATTTCTACAGTCCTTCCCAACTCTAAAATGACATCATTCTAGGATGTACTCAA